CTAAAATTTAAAACTACTCAATATATTAATAAACTCTGCAACGAAAAAGCAATTATTTTAACTCAATATTAATTTTAATTTATATAACAAAAATATTTCATTATTGATATACCTATTGTTTGGAAAAATTGGATTAAATACAAAGAAAATCTCAAAAAACCTTTAGAGTTAAAAATTGAAAATAATGTGCTAAGGGATGTTGTTAGTTGTTTGGTATTTACCATTAAATTAACTGAAATATGTGATACTAGAGCGCATCATCAGTACAAAAAGTTTTTATGTTAGACATTGAAGATTTTCTTTCAATAATTGATCACTTATTAGACGTAGCTTATATTATATATTTGAATTTCAGAAAAATTTTATTCCACACTTCAATTAAATTCTTAAAATAAGTCCGAATATACTAGCCACTACATGGTAGAAAATTTTCCAGAAATTAATTTAATAGTTCTAAGTAATAACACTCCTATTTTCTTGTATATTGCGTAATACCTTAGTGCCCTTTAGTCATATTAGTCATTGAATATTTAAGCAAATATATTCAATAGTTAAACGTAATATAAAAATCTAATCAAAATAAAATACTAAAAATAAATCCGACATAAATTTCTTCTTTCATATTTTCCTATATCGATTTTCTTTTCTCGAATGGCATAAAAATTACCAAACCTTACTTTAGAATCGAGAATATTAAAATCGAGATGTTACCAAAAACTTAGTTAAAATTGTATACAAAACATTTGCATGTGTGCAAATGATTGGCAGGAACAGTTCAAAGTCGATCATTGAAACAGTTATTCGGGCCTACTCACTCCAAAATATTTATATATCCCTTGGGACCGGTGGGACAAAAAATGGCCCCATTTGGTCATCCAGATTTAAGGCTATTAATAGGTGTACTCACCGAACATTTTTGACCTAAGTTCATTCGAAGAAAAAATTTAATATTTTTCACCTAAGTTCATCCGAAGAAGAAAATCGTCATAAATTTTTTATATTATAAGAGCAGAAAATGTGCTGCTATAAACTAAGGTAAAAATGTTGAATGGAACTGATTTATAATCTTATTGGATGACCTTGGTAAAATCTATTATTAATTGAAAATGATTAAGCATTTTTGTTATATAAAAATCAATATAAGGTTTTGCCCAAATTGAAAATAAATTATGCATGATAAGAAACAGAACACCTTTCTATTTCTTATCATGCATAATAATAAATACATATATTTCAGAATATTTACTTCTTATTTCTTCAAATTTTCTGCAAGTAAGAATCAAAAGTTGTATATTCATTTAAAACAAATTGATTTTCTAGGTTTTCTTTTCCATTATGTTCAAGTTCATACAAATAGTCGGCAAATTTACGCACATTTTATAAAATGAATTTTCAATAATTTCAATATCATTAGATGAGAAAAATGAGATTATTTAAAATTTAATTTATGATTTTCCTATTTAGATTTAATTTGACCAGAATTTTGAAATTAAATTAAGAAATTTTATTATTTTTTATAATTTTATTGCTAAATTTTGTGACATTTCCATACCTTCGTTTAATTAAAATCGACCCCTGCCTTTAAAAGAGTTTTTTTTATTTCTTTATAGTTAAATACCAAATTCTATTATCACTTACTTTCCTTTGCAATATTCACCGTGCAATAAAAAAGCTTTAGATTAAACAAAATGTTAGGGCTTTCATAGATCATTATTTATTTTATGTGTAACTCTTAACAAAAAAAAGTTTTATCTTACTTTGTTCGCTTATTCGGGCGTCCCTTTAAGAAAATTATTTCTCTATAAGAAAATTTAAACATGTCTTATAAATTTATGACCACTCATAAATTTTTATCGAACCCATAAACATTTTTCATACGGATGAACCCAAAAAATTAGCGATTTCGTGCTGTTTAAATGAAACTCGGTTTTTTCAAACTTTCAACACTATTTGTTCCATTACGATGTGATCTAAGATGTTAATAATATTTGTAGAAATTAATAAATGATTTATTTCGTCCGGGAAAAATTTTTTCAACTTCCCACACCCCATCCCTTTTCAAAATTAGCAAAATTTCCACCTTCTCATTTTTCCAAACCATAAGCTTTTGCAAATTTCTATAAAGCCAAAAAATTAACTATATGTGAAACAAAAAATGCATACTATATAATCCAAACTCAAATAATAAATTGACCATCAAATTTGATCTTTATGTTGACATTTATTTTAATTTTTGTTCTTTCTCCCAAAAGTATGCAACAAATTTTTTATAGTAATCTGCACACGACGTTTCGTATAATAATAGCTAGCTAGTTACCTATATATGGATTACTGAAAAAATTTAAGTAGACAATTTTTTTTTTAAAGTATTTTTTTGCTCAAAGGCTACTTCTCCTTATTAAGGAATCGTACATTAACTAATTTTAGAGGTATGTCGGTTTATTTGTTTATCAGTCTCTATATGCACACGTGTATTTAAAGTTGAGGCTGAACCGAATTTGATGAAATTTTATGTATGAGTCTATTATTGCTATGTCGCGGATTAACCATATTTTGGTATATCTCAGTCCTGAGGAATAGGAGTTTTTTACGGAACTATTTTACTTTTTTAACAAAATATAAATCAACCTATTTCCTTGAAAGTTAACAGCTAAATTAGGGCTGTTAAAACAATGAAACTATAAATTTTTGGAAAGATCAGGGCTCGGAAACTGAACTAGGGGAAATTTAATATTTAAGTTTTGATAGCTACCGAAACTAACTTGGCGAACTTTTCAGGGCGAACTTTCTCCAAATTTGCATTTTTCTAGGTATGTTAACTAAAAGCTTATTAGTGTTTGTAAAATTTAAAATAATTGTTCAAAAGACATTTTCATAATCTTTTACCACCCTGCCGCTAAACTAGACAAGGACTATTGAGACTATGTACTAACCACATAAAATTTTTTAATTTATCTGGTCTTAAAATCAATTAATTATATTACTATTACTTTTTCTGTAGTAAACGAATATATTATAGATTAAATATTTTGAAAATACTAAGTAAACAATAATTACTTAATTTAAGAATCAGTGTTATGCTATTCATTGCCTCCAGCACCTTATAACGTTTCTAAAATAAGGGATTTTATAAAGCATAACAATTGAAATTTTCTTAAAATTTTCCTTAGAACTGAAGAGCACTTTTTGAATTCTTCTGTATATTGCATTGCAACCATGTAAAATGTAGACTCATTTTAATTTTTTCTTTTTTCAGCTCATAAAACGGAAAAAGTCATAACATTTTAATTGATTTTTTTGAAATATTTCAATTATAAAATCATGTTTGTAACATAGGGAAGTAAACATGTAATCAAAATACTACATTTTCAATAAAATTCACTTTATTTTCGTTCTCTCAGAAAAATTTTATTTATGATTCAAATTCACAAATATTCACTTTCAAAAAAAAAAAAACATGAATTCAACGAATCTGATATAAAATGAGATGATCACGTAAACACTTATTTTTGATTTAAAAAAAAAAAGTGTAAGGAAAATAATAGAAAACACAATTTTTACTTCAAAATGACAAAATATTGCATGTACGTGAATTGAATACAGTGCGACTCCGAGAATATTTAGAGGCACAGAAAAGTATAAAATAAAAATTTACTTTACTTTTGCAATAAAAATGTTTTTATGATACGTAGCATACTTATAGGATGAATTATGTATTTACTTAAGTAAATTGAAAATAAAAGGAACAGAAAACGCTATATTGCTTAAAAATCGTGAAAGGACACCAATAAACATGAATATTTTAAATAAAAGTGAATAGTTCCCTACCCAATTAATTCTCACTCCACATCGTACATTTATTCTTGACCAAAATTTTATTGTATTGTTACGTTTTTTCTTTACAAATGAAATAAGAAGACAGAAGATTATTATTTGAAAATCATTTCATGAACGTAAAGTGTACTGAAAATTATTAAGTGAATTACGATTGAAAGTATTTGCTTTTAAGAATCTCGAAATTCTGGAGAGTGTAATTCAGGGAATTTTCAATATTCCAAGACGACAATAATGATAATGCTATAGTGAATAAAACGTTATTAAATTGAATAATACCCTTATTTTCACGTTTATAAAGCACAATCAATCCGCAAAAGAAGCTGTTTTGTGCTCTTTGATTTGATTTCCGAATGCATTAGTGCATACATGGCTTTAATTGGATTTTCCTTTTAAATCTATTATCAGTCTTGCCAAAGTTTTTACAAGGAGTATTCTGCCATTTTCTTCAATTATTTCACGTGAATATAACGCAGCATTAAATTTAAATTACTTTCAGATTCTTATTAAATTGGGGTTCTGTTCCCTTATCATTGAATTGACCATAAGCTTACTATAAAATATTTACCAAATAAACTGAAGTTTAAGTTCTAGACTACACAACAATTTTACATCTCTACATTTAGTTTCATATTGGGTTCGGTGTTTACCTTTACGTGCCGAATAATTTACAAATACTAAACATTTACTTACCACTGCTATTAACAGCAATAATAATACATCTGCCTTTTTCTAAACACATCCGTTTCTATTCATAATACTATGTTAAATTTTATTGTTTATAGTCATATAAAACTGTTAAAAATTTTTTTTCGCTTTTAATTTAGATAATTTTACATATTCAAAGTAATTTTACAATTTTTCCAATTTTCCAACCGTATAATAATCTCCTGTAATAATATGCATGTGCATATCCTTTGCTTAGCTACCTAAGCTAGCTAAGATTTATTTCTTTCTTCCTGTGTTTCAAGTACATGCAGGTCTTTTCTTTAATATCTGCAAAAATTTAATATTAAATAAATTTACATAAATAATTTTATAGCAATGTTTTTTAATTTTAAAAATTCTAAAAATTTTACACAACATTAAAAATAAAAAACACAAATTTTTAAAAATTTTCTAATTTTTAATTGAATTTTTCTTTTTCTATTTTCTTCTATTTTAAGGCGGTGAAAGTAGCGGTGGCAGACAAACACGTAATGGAGTTGCGGTATGCTCACAGAAAAGAGCATTATGCGTCACAGGAGTTGTTATAGGTTCTTTATTATTAACGGCCTTAATAATTGCATTTGCTGGCCCATCAAATGGTAAAGAAAACCTTTTGAATTTTTTAACCTTTTATTTTAATTTTCTATTTTTCCTTTTTAACTATTTTTTGTATGGATTTATGCTTTATTTTGTGTTTGTTTTTTTTTTTGTGCACATTTTCAAAAAGAAGTCAAGGTTTTTTAAGGGCCATTTTGTTTTATTTTTACTTTTTCCTTTATATATATATGTGTGTACAAAATATTCAAAAAAGAAAAAAAAAAGGAAAACAAAAATAATAACAAGGTGTAGCACATAAAATAAGAAAAAACGAGGAAAAAAATTAACATATGTGTATATTCTAGAAGCTATAAAATATATGGGAGAAGGTTTCTATATAAATTAAAACATAAAGGATATTATAGGAAGAATAATTTCATGGTATTCCAATTACACATTAAAATAGCGATAAAAATTGTTTTCTTTTTCTACTCTGTATTTTTCCTCATTTTCCTATTCAAAAAGCGTGTACAGAATGATGGCTTTTGATATTTAATTTTGTATAGAAAAAAAGGTAAGGTTCCAATGAAATGTTTTATATAGAAATGTATGCAGATATGCGCATAATATATACATACTCCTCATATGATCAAGATAACCTTGTATATTTTGTTATTATAAGCGAACGGAAATGCATGTATATGAAAAGATGAATTGAAAAATAAATTTTATTTAAAATTATAAAATGTGATTATAAGAAACGTTAAGTATAGAACGTATATGAAAAGCACTTTAGAAATATTAAAAAAGTAGTTTAAGCAAAAACACATCTGTGTATGCATTTCACCTTCTTCCCCGCTTGAAACTATATACATATATATATATATATAAAAAATTGAGAATGTGAAATTATAATTAAAAAAAAATGCTATTCAAATTATTTTTTTTATTAAAAATTTATTAAAAATTCGATGTGTGAAATTTTTTTGATTTAATTAAATTAATATTTTCTTGGCCCCTGTTTTCACACAAATGAACACAATATACAGTAGTATTCCGTGTCTTAAAAAAAAACAAACTTTAACAATGTATCACGTTTCATTTTTAACAGTGTTATTCGCTCCGAATTGTATTAAATGCGTTTTATAAACAAGCGATCATTGATTACTAAATACAAAGTATTATAAGCGGCATATACGCAATTTAAGCAACAAGCGCAATATCACAAAAATTTTAAAACCTCATTTATTTAGCAATCATAGTAGATTTTCTCTTTATTTAACATGAAATTGGAACATCATAAAATGGTACATTATTCTTTATGTTCTGTAATTTATATACAAGCTTACAAAAATTCTCTTTTAATATAAAAAAATACATGCTTTTAAATTTAATTGATTATTTTATTCAATTGAAAATTGTTATGCATAATTTTTATTGCACTTTTATAGCATTCTATTCAATTAAATTTATTCGACTATTTAACTCGTAATAATCTGTACATAAATATTATTGCATTTTTATTAGAAGCCTTAATAATTGCGTAAATAATAAAAAAAAAAAACACAATTTTTAGTTATCAGTTTGAGTTTCATGTAAATAAAAAAAAATTGCTCTGCAATGTTATTGATTCTAATTTTGAAGTATGAGAAAAAATAGTCTATCAAGATAAAGAACAAAAAAAAAATAAAAATTAACTTCAAAGTAAATAAATGAGTGGGTGGATCACTTCTTTCCTCCGTAAATCTATAATAAATCTAAATATATATATATAAATATATTTTGTCCTATTTCTTTGTCATCACTACAAAATCACAAATCATCGCATCCATCATCAAATAAAAATATTACCATTTAAGGCTTTGAAATTTTTACCATTTATTTGTTTCTTCTCTTCTCAAAGTGAAATATCATTTGTTTTCTCATATCTTAATAGTTTCCTAAAACATAAAGAGAGTACAACTCTCCTTATAACATAAAGTTGAGTAATTAATTTTAAATAATAATTATTTTGAGTTGCCAAGTGGAAATTTTTGTTTAAATTTCCTTAATATTTGACTTTCCTGTATTATGACAGTGACATTAGAAAACGGCAAGACAAAACGAAATACATATGTTTAATTATTCGGTAAGAAATTAAAATTTTTTGTAAAAATTTTTAATTAAGATTTGCTAAATGAAGACTCCTATTGCTTTTATCATTTCCTACAAGAATGCATGTAACAAAAGTAATTATTTATTTATGTTGAAACTGTATAATATCGCGACATAATTATTTCTAAAATTCGAATGGTTTAATCAACAACCTGGCACTTGCTCATTACTTCTTTAATATTTAGTTTCAACTCTCTGTGTTTACAGAATTTCTGGACTTTCTTTAACCTTGGACGCAATTGTTTTATTCTCACAACTTTCAAACACTATAACTTGAATTAAAGGGGAGTCAAAGATAAATTTAATTGCAAAATTTTAGCTTTCTGCCTTGAACAGTATAAAAATTTTAAGGCAACAAATAAACAGACAAGCAGAAATGAAGCTAATAAAAACAATTTTTCCACAAATTTTCTGAAGACGTATCAAAAACAAATTTGATTGTTGGTTCCGTTAAAAGAAAAAATTACACATACTCGTATATATTATGTTAAAAATGTTTCTGTATAAGATTTTTCCAGACATTGTAGCTTCTTTTTCGCATTAATTCCTTTTAAAATAAATTTTAATGGTGCTTCTTGAAACGAAAAATGCGCTTTTTCTTACCTCTTTTCTATTTAATCCATTTGGGAACATTAGCAATTTCCACTTGAATTTTTCGCGTTAAGTTTCAGCCTCATAAGTCATTGAATTAAATAGCTGTGTGGTTAGCCTGCTGTAGTTTTTTCTTTCCATTAAATATTGAAAGTTATTGTTGTTGTTTAGTTTTATTGATTTCAATAGCTATATAATATCATAAGGAGAGACCCTTCGTTAAAGGGCCGATTCAAAACTAAAATAATTTATATCCGATAATGTTAACGCCATTTTAACAAATAAAATTAAAATAATTTTCCAAATATTCTGCATTCCTCTTCTATACTATATGAGAACTAACTTACTAAAATAATATCTTCTTTATCCAACCATATTATTTGCAAATATTAAAAATACTCAAAATCTTTAAAAATTATGCACACTAATTAACTTCTCCGTCTTATCATAATAAAATTCACTTTAAATATGGTAAAAATTTCAAACAAGTGCACATTAAATTTTTTCAAAATGAAATTTTATTAAAGTTCATTAAACTATATATGTACGCAATCTACAGTCCAATTGTCTGAATTATACATAATTACATAATTATATAAAAATTCCAATTTACTTAATTCGCTATTCAAAACATTATGAATCAATTTGAATTAAGGTAGAGAAAGAGAAATAGAAAACACAAAAATCTTTTCAAAAAAATTTTTTCATTAAAAATTAAATACCTACCTTCCTATACCTAGCTACCTATGTATTGGTAAGATTTAACCACTGTGAAAAGGAAAAGTGAAATAAAGAAATGCAAATATAAAATTCCTCGGGTAATTATATAGGAAAAATAAAACTTGTAAATTTTTGTTTCAATATTCTTTTGCATGTTCTCTAGAAAATATTCTTCATTTTGTTTTTTTTTTTTCTAATCTTTTTATGAATCTCTTCTATAATATTATGAGTTTTAAATCATTTCTCATATAGTTAACAAAAAACAAACTGAATAAACATAAATTCTACATATTTTCTACTTCTTAAGTGCTGTTGTGACATAGTGCACCAATTCCCAGAAGTGTCAAGTGGTTTTTACTTTCTCCCCATATGAAAATGTAGGAAAAAAATTATGAAAACAATTACACAGAATGCAGAAAAAAATGAGTTTTTTTCTGATTTTTTTTTTTCATAGTGCAAGTAAAACTTATTTTTAAAAAAGCAAAGAAACTTATATGCAAAAAAAAAAAATATTCTTACACACATTTTTACACGTTGCAATCCAGGTATATAGTCAACTTCAATATATGTATACATAAAATTATACAATGTAAAAAAAATTACGTTTACATCTACATCCTTAAAAATCTATTTAAAAAATCCTTTCCTCTTATACAACAAAAAGACGGAAAAAGCATGGATTTATTCCAAGCAAATTTTTTGCGGCAGTAATCGTTTTCGTTTTTTCTATTATTTTTTGAATAACTAATTAAAGAGCACTTGACTAAAGTGCATATACAAAGATTACTTTTATGTCTATAAAATTAAGGTTCAAGCAATTTATTAAAAGAAAAGGCTTTTTTCGTAAATTGTTTTTTAAAGCAAATTTGAAGTCTGTTTATTAAAACAGCAAATATTTTGAAACAAGAGTTAATAACTAAATTATCCCTTTAAGGTTTAAGCACAAAATAAAAAGAAAATCTTTACGTTTTAGATAACGCAAATCATTTCACCCGATTAATTTATCACCATTAAACTGATATTAATTAACAAACACAAAAATGTATTTCTGGTGTGTACTTTCGCGAGCTTCAAGTCCTATGAATATTCAAGTATTATGAATATTCCTTAAAGTATTCAAAAGTTTTTTTATATTTATTCCCACATAGAACTAAAACAATTAAAGTCTTAACAATAATATTCCTTTTTATTTTATAGTTTAAGTGCCAATATAAATTTGCTTAAAAATATATTGTTTCCAAACTTTTTAGATCCTTATTAAAAGAATAATTATATGGACTCTGCTTATTCGAAACCAAAATTCATGATATTCAAAAAATTAAGGTTTGCTCCATTTTTAGATTAGTTCCAATTATATGCATTAAAATCCAATTAAAAAGTTCAGTTCCAATTACATATATGCAATAAAAAAATTAGTTATATTTTAAATCATACCTATGCCGAAAGGATTAAATTTGTTTAGACAGAAAGCAGCGTATATTTTACACGTTTTCCAAACAAAAATTATTCAATATTCTTTAAATTTTTCATTAATTCGGATCAGAAAGCCATTATGAACATAAAACTTTGAAATTAAGTAGTACGACAATACTTCCAC